CAGAGGTGACGTTTTTTTTTTTTTTCAGTTCCCAATAAAACATGTCCTGTGAATAAGGTTGAAGGCTGAAATATTAAGCATAGGAACTCAATCACAGAGTGTGCGATATAGACACGAGCTGTATGAAATCTCGCTTTTCTGTAAAATGGCGTACCTGTGAATAAGGTTGAATGCTGCAATATTAAGCATCCGAACTTAATCACGGAGTGTGCGATATAGACACGTGTTGTATGACATCCCGCTTTTCTGTAAAACGGCGTACGTGAGACAAACGGTAATGTCTCAACGTGCGCCTGCTAGAGCATCGCGTCGAATAACGAAAAAAAAAAGTAGAAATGGTTTTTTTGGCGTAACATTGTTCTGAGTATGCATGGCTACAGTCCTATCTTTGGTGATCACTACTGTAATCGTTAAAACGTCATGTAAGAGGGAAAAAAATGGTACGTCAATTGAAGAAAAAAAAATGCCCCCACCTCCCCGAAGGGAATCGTAAGGAAATGCGAATGGATTGCGTAGTGTCCATAACGGCGTTTCGCACGTGAGAACACAGCTTTAGAATAACAATTTTTTTTTTTCACTGTGCATTCAATAGCACCATTCGCCGCACGTGGCGTTTTTCTGTCGCGAGAAACGCAGTACAAGCGCGTTTCTAGCTCAAGTAGCTAGCGTGTACGGTTAAAAAATACTATGAAGTGAGCGAAACAAACAGCGTCCCGGCGTTGCGTTTCACAGCACAGCGCGCCGTCTCGAGCACACATTTGGGGATGTTCTTGAGGGGCGCCCAGCCAGGGAACGATCGAGAGTGAGGCGCGAGTGGACGGGAATTAAAGTGGGGCGCAGGGAGGAGAGAGAGAACGGCGAGAGGAGTGGCGAAGCACTGTACCTACCCTCTCCTACAATCTCTCGCATGACATGCTCTGGTTTCTAGGGGCGAGGATGAATACGCGCGCCCGCAGCTGTTGCTGTGAGAGAGGGAGCGCGAGCGGAGAGATAACACCTGCCGGCGCGTGGACAACGCCGGATGTCTGACATAGCCCGACTAAGATATTCATTGGCATTTCAAAACAGGCGATTAGCAAACCTGCTATAACGCTATCCACCAAGGAGTAATCATTCTTGCAAGGAGCGAACCCCCTTGCACACTTTTCTTAACTTTGAGTAAATGATTACGCATTATCATGGTCAAAGAACGCTTTATACAGCATGTACTCGCACATGGGCAATTCTGTCAATTAGTCTTTTAGAATTAGATTCTGACAGCTGTACAAGGCATTATTCACTGCACCCTAAACAAATGAGATTTCAGACCTGCCTTTTTGTCTTTGAATTAGTCAGCAAGCAGCTGCCTGTCATATGTAGAACTACCTATGAAATAAGTGAATGATCAAGGATTTTTATCGTGAGTGAGGGTGGGCATTAGTGAGTTTTTACTGGCAGTGGAATGGTTCGCTTAACCCCCAAGCAAAAAGGGCACAGGTGCAAGTTTTGCAAAATCTGGTCCCTAAAAAAGTCATTTTACGTAACACAAAGTTTGGGTGTTATTAATTTGCCAGCACATTCACTACCACAAGTGTGCAAATAAGGAATAATTGCATTTGTAAGATTGGTGTGTGTAGATAGCAGCACCGATAATATGAAAATCTGCGTTATTACGTCACGAAAATCCACAACTGTAGACTGGCGCAATTAGCAGTAGGAAATGTTGCAGTGGCGCTATATCGTGGTATCCTTGAGAAAACTGGCTGCCCGTGCAAAGCTGTTCGTGCCATAGAATTTTATGGTTTGTGCCACTGCATATCTTCCAGTTCACTATAGTTTATGCAAACTTTCAACTTGATTTTCAAGTTCGCCACATGAAATTACGCGTCATGACACCATAACCCCATTTTTTTAAGTGCTTCACTTACGTAATATAATGCGGTAGAAGAATGAAGTAACGACCACACATCACACAAAGCAACATGTCTAGTGGGTCATTTAAATCTTCCATCCCAGTAAAAGGCTCAGCCATAATTCATCGTCATCAACCACTACATCAACAGAGTGCTTTTGTTTATTCTTCGAAGTGCACATAATGTCTTGCAGACGTGTAGCAGGTCCCTTCTCCACATAATAATGAATAATGGCATAGCGAATGCTTCCCAACTTCACAAAAATTATAGTTTATGGTGTACCTTGGAAGTGTATTTGTACTAGTAGCCCCAAGAGAATCCACGGGCACTAGAAATGGCGCACTTCTGGCTTTCTCTGTGACCGTGCTGTGCTTTCTGCACAGGTCTGAAGTATGCTCACGAGCTGTACAGACATGACTGGTCATAAGCATTTTTTTTTTATGGGCCACACCATTCAGTCACCATGCATTTCTCGAGTCCTTACGTCAAATATACTTACGAAATGACCCATACATGAGATATGGAAAAAGCCTTCGTTCATATGGTGATGTACGCTGAAATCTCTTTCAAACATATTGCCACACACATGTATTGTTGAAATTCAACAAAACATTAAACAGCAAAAAATTTTTAAAAAAGATTTCAAAAGGCTTACCAATATGACGTAGTGCCTTGTAGTATATGCTGCACTATATTTCTTCACACACACAACACAGCAAAATTTAAAAGATAAAATGTTTATTTCACAGAGATATACACATGACTGTAGTTCATTCAGCCACTAGATAACCTTCAAGCCCAAAACCAACAAATAAAAGGAGAGACATCCAAACAACTATGTCACATATTTTCTGTGAGAGGTGCAGCTGCACAGACACCATGAGTTTGTTATCAGTTGCTGCACTCATTCAGCATATTCAATGGCATGTGCAGCATTGGTTTCTCTTAGCACTCGCTCCAATGATCAAAACAGAGGGCTGGCACAGTTATACTGAGAAAGTTCTCAAGCAGTTCTTACGCATAATTTGTAATGACAGCCATTTAAGGAATCAGTAATTAAATAACACACATAAGCAATCTTTAACTTATTTTGCATGCTTGTTTGATATGGCAACATAATCTTTAAATGAGGCTTTAGCATGAAACTTTTTACCCAAGAAATTGGTTCGAAATAATTTGCTCATACAGACAAGTTTACACTTTAATAGCAGCATAGAATTAGGATAAAATAGTCGGGCTTTATGAGTCAGATTCTTAATCTCCTTAGGCGGAAAAGTGGAGGTGCTGTGGGTCGATCATGAATATGCGGGATTCCTTACAGTGCACCCGATGCATAAATGTATTTGATTGCAGACATTTGACAGATGTCTGTCTGGTTGGGTAAGTAAACTGGGAAACGATGTTAGCTCCATATTTTCACATACTTTTTGTTTGGAGCTACAATCATTTCCCATAAATGTATTTTCATTTTACCTTTTTTGGAATGTGGTCTTTGTGGCCTGTATCCAATGCATGACTTCAAGCTCAGCAGTGTATAGTATGGCCATTGAACAACCACATTTGGTCTTGCTGCATGTAAGTAAACAATTAAGCATTTAGCATGGGCCTGAGTTGACAGAAAATTTCTGCACTGATGGTAAACAACTTCCAAAGTGAACAAAAGTGTAGCTCGTCAGGCTACAAGATATGTCCAGTATGAGGCATTTTTAGGAAATTGTCACCTTTTAAATTCACCTGCTTAGATTTTGTACAGAACATTATTCAAAATTTTGCTTTCTGGCACAGCAGCCTTAAAGAAAGTGTCACACCATTTCAGTGTCAGTGGCTTTGGGAAGCAGTGGACACAAACAGCTCACCTTAGATAAAAAAAAATTTTTTTGTCGGCTGATAATGTTTGTAAAGACCAGTTGTCACAGTAGTGAGGTGGTCGTTAAAATCCTGCCTATGTATGCAAACCCAAACTTTGATACAACGAACCCAAATTAAATGAAACATTGGTTATAATGAAGTGCATGAAAAATAGTCTTGCAATAGGTACAGTGTTAGAAATAACCTTCATAGCGAATTTCCGGATATAACGAACAATATTTCTTGTGAGATGCATCATTGCTATAATAAGGTTTGAGCATCCTAATTCATTTGAAAGTATTCATGAAGTGAAATTTTTCTTGGATGAACTTGCAGAACAACTCTGCAACTGTTTGTATCACAATCCTATGTAGAACAGCATGCAGGGTACACATCTTGCAAATGTCAAGAACTGGGAAGACATTAACCAAAGTATTATTGATGTAGAACCTCGTTTAGCAAATAGAGATGCTATCTCGATACCCTGGCAGCAAGCATATGTGCAGTATAATTGCACTAGTATGAAATAGTATGATTAACATTTTCCTTCTGCAATCACAAGGAAGCAGAATTTCTTACAGTGTAGCATCTGTCTTGACAGAACTTTTCAAAGTGTATTTTCATAGGCACATAGACATTGCACACCAGGCTAACAATGCACATCATGCTTTAAGCAGAGCTGGGAGAGCCATTTATTATTGTCTGGTGCACAAACCCGTTGGCTTTGATTTACAAATTGGTTTGCAGCCCTCTACACTGTGACAGCTGGCAACTCAATAAATAATTGCGGTTATATGTAAACAACAACAACAAAAAACGAGAATATCAAAAAGCAATGGCTCTATTTACATTTGCACGCAAAAGGAAAGTAAAAAAAAAACGTCTTCGCTGTTTGCCCATAAGTTTCCATTCATTCTTCAACTGCAGTGAAGCTAGTTACAGCATAGTGTCACAGCGATACGATACAGAGAAGTGGCACTTGCACAGAAAAAAAAAATTCTGAATGCAGCAATAATTAGTCTAGGCATCAGCAGAAGTTGATAACTGTGGCATCACTAGTATGAGTCATAAGATCTAGCTCAGAAGTGAACACAGCCATCGTAACGGCTGCCACCAGGGGCTGGAAGTGCAGTATTCGCACTTTTCCCCCATTATAACTACACTATGTGGTATTGCCCTCCTGACAGCGTGCATCGACCGAAATATGGCTAATGCTTATGACCTCGAGTGAGGAGACATGACCACTACATTACCACAATCTTTCAGAGTACATTACTTTGATTTATTTTTGTTACCCCACCTTGTAAGTGTGCAACACCTGTTCCTACTGGTGGCAGTGATGCCAACCTCACCTACATCTACAAGAGTGGCAGTGTGGCATTCAACTCCATTTAACAGCAACGTGGTCACAGATGACAAATGAATCTCAGCTGCCTGCTTCTGTCACTCCACCACGCGAGGCCCCCCACAATAGGACTTGCATTCCAGTATAGTTTGTGGAAATGCTATGGCAGTGAAATGAGTAGAGAGGATGCGTGCAAATCAACAGGCTCCACCCTCTCCATGAAGAAATTTAAGCACGACAGTAAGTGCACTGTTCACAAAGCTTGCACTACTAACAACACATTCATATGCACATCTCCACGATTAGAAAGCCTAGCATTTAAATAAATAAGCATAGATTTCTTTCTGTACAGGACAACATGAAAAAAATGTAGAAGACAGGTCTAGTCCCTTATGATAGACTTTAGAAACACTGACAGCGGTACCACCCGAGTACTGGTGCTTTCGGCAACTCGAAGTGTTACATTGCAAAAATGCATCGTCTTACGACCGTGAAATCAAAATGAATATGTGTTATCACTTCAGTATGGGCCATAAAAAAAAAGAAGAAATGGCAGCGAAATATGTTTCAGAAGTGAAAAGATAAAAAGAAACAGGCAAAATGCAAAAGCATCATTATAGTATCTGGTTGCTTGTTACGAATGAAGCTTGTTACTGAGAGCCATGTTATTGAAACCAAGAATTTCCTGAAGCATGTACCATTCAGTAGTTGTGAAAGGTGTCATCACCTTGTCCAACCCATCAAAAAGTCAATTGCCATGCACGGTGCACAGGCTGAAACGAGACTTAACTGGTGTCACAGCATGTACCAAAGCATTTAGCATGTACTACTACTAGTTCCAGAAGAATGCGTAGAATAGGACACAGGTGGGTGTGAGGTCGCATAAGAGTGCTGTTGTTACTGGCACATACCTTTCGCATTTTTCAAAACATCACAGGCTGCTGAGGCCATAACACTATCAACGCATGCTGGAAAGTCAAGCCATGCAATAGGTATTCTGTTTTACTCCAGCACTCGTCACACTGAGCTGCACATTTTCAGAAAACATGGCACAACAGATTCGCAATATGACAAGGAAAAACTTATAACCTTTGCTTACTTTTATATTATTGCTACCATGTACAGTCATAACAAAAGTCTACAGGCCATGACATGTAAACAGAAAATTATTTAATCTATTTTAGCACATCTATGTAATAGGGAACTCTTTTGATAAACTATGTGTTGGTTGAACTGACACATGGTTATAACAGTTGATTTCAGGTTGCATACCCAAACTGCAAGGAAAGTTCTTTCTGTAGCACTTGTGGCCTCAGATATATACTTGTGTTTGCACATGAACATGCCACGGTATAAAATTACTGTCTAGTGAAATATGGCTATATAATTATAGAAACTTTTAGAGCATGTCACAGTCATGCGTCATAATTTTTTTTATAGATGTGTACCAGCAGCATTAGGAAAGTACACCTGCACTTTGCTTACCCTTACTTATAGAAACATTTTCAAAAACTTACATGAGCTTGCTGGAAGCAAGCTCATGTAAGTTTTATACATGAAAAAAAAATCTCTAGCTCACCGGCTGAAAGCAACAAGCTGTAGAATGAAATGCTAGAGCAAGATGACTCTCAGTAGTTGTAAAGTACTGAAAATGAAAGCACTGAAGACAGTAAGAAATTAATGAAGGTTAGCGGCTTGACATAGGCACCGCTGGGCATGTAGCTATCAGCAGACCTTGACCCAAGGTTGGCTAGGAAGGTGCACATGGACAGCACGCCCGGACGGATGTCATACTCGTTCCACTTGGCTCGGATGTCGTTGATGCATACTGTTTCTTCATTATGTGCCATTAAAATCCTTGTCTGATGTAGGTGCCGGGGAGTAGCCATCAGCTGGACGTTTCCGTTTGAAGAAGCCCAACTGCAGGAACAAACAGGGTCTTTAAAAAAACATGCTCTCGCGACATTTCGCAGCTTCCTAATCTGTCTCACCACTAAGGTTGTGATGCGCTTCAATAAAAGAACACTAATTGAGATTTGGCTACATTCTGCACAAGATTTCATGTTTAGTACTCATCACAGCTTTTGCGCAGTTAATTTCTTCGGTTACGCTAATAAAGCCACTATAATAAAATCCAAGAACATCAGAAAATTGAAACTTTTTGGCACTGATGGAGGTCCCACTAACCTATGAATTGCGAAACTTACGGAATATCTGACTGGCCATTTTCAAGCGCTTCGAAGCACTCGCACTCAATCAAAGCACTTCACATTCATCCTCTGAGCTATCCTTAAAGTCCTTGGATGTGGGCCTATACTTGCTGTGGAGATAAACAGGACTAAACCAGAGCTACTGTCCAAGTGTCTTGGGGAGGACAGAGCTGCCAAGATGACCTCCAAAGGTGTTGAAACCATAAAACACTGCAAGACTCAACCTTCGAAGATTTCTGTGTGACGCATAGCTCTATACCTAGTACAGTCGAACCCCGCTACAACGAAACTGACGGGGTGCGGAAAAATTTTCGTTGAAGCGAAAATTTCATTGTAGTGAAACTGAAGAAATATAGCTGATCTGAGCTAGCAAAACAAAGGAACGTTCTCATTCAGAAAACGTGCGCTGCTTCCTATTCTTTCTCAGCAGCGTCCCGACGTCATTCTCACTCATGCATAGCGAGGTCATGGTGAAAAGCACGCTGAAACAATGTCTAAAACCGTTTTTTTGAACGAACCAAACAGTTCCATTAACATGTTAACACCAGCAGCTGCCCGCAGTCAAAAGTATCCGACAACGTTGAGATGGAGGCAGGGTACCGAGGAGCAGCGACTTTTGCATTATTCTATGCCATTCTTATCATTCATAACTCGCGGCTAGCTGATTTTGTTGATAATGTGGACAAACAGCCGCTCTCATTAGTTACCATATTGGCCAGCGCGAACATAATGATAAGCATCGGAATCGGAAAAGGCATTGTTCCGGGGTTGCACCCAGCAGCTGCGTCGAGGAAACCATGAACTGAGCCACTGATCTTCAGCTTCGGATCGTCTGCAGCTCAAAAATAAGCTTATGGCAAAAGCAAGGCCAGGGCCGTCTCACTGCCATCGCTATCGAGCAATAGCGGCGCCCATGCTTGCTGAACAGCGGTGGTATAGCGGTGGTGTCTGGTGGTGCCAACACGTGTTTTAGACTTCGTTGGCACATTTTCAGGCTCTGAAAATGCATCGAAATGTTAAAGATTGGGTTTACTGCATAGGATTAAGTATCTGAGCCTGGAATTGCATCGTAAAATTTTATTGAAGTGGGACGATCGAAGAAAAAGTGTTCGTTGTGGCGACAATATTTATGCATTGACTCCTATGGACTGCTGACGGGGAATCGTGAATTTTTCGTTTTTAATTCAAATGGCATTCGTTATAGCGGAGTTTGACTGTAGATATTTTGTCATGAGTCTTTAAAACTCTGTATGTGTCTGTTCAGTCTCTGCATCCTTGTGCTATACTAGCAGTTCTGTTGAACACTGCATTAGAGCACCCACCTTGTAGAGGATGAAGATGACTAACAGTAGTAGCAAGATTCCTGCAACAATGGCAAGGATGATGATCCAAAGTGCCACACCTTCTGTCTTCTGGTACAAGCTTGCATCAGGGTAAGCCCTTGTTTCTGCCTGCATTTGGAAGCAAATCTTTGCGTATGTTGTTCTGCCATAGTAATTTTTGAAACTATTGCTTTCAAATATTTGTTGAGGAAGAAAGCAATTGAAAAATGATGTGATGTTGATTGTTCCACTGTCCACGAATAGCATCATGTAAAGCTCATTTTTATGTTTCATTGACTACTCACATAGGAAGACATGAAATGCTCATGTAATAAAATATTCTAGCTGCTGACAAATTTGAACGTCAGAAAACGCTATGCAGCATCAGCACATATGTACCATATGCTTGCCTCTCACTGGTTTATCGCATGTATGTTGCCTTCTTCCAAACTTAATTTTGCTCTTCATATGAGGCCATCATGTGACCAGTGCAAAATGATTAACGAAGTCACTGCTGTGATCAAGCAAATGGTTGACTACCGGCCGAAATTTTCAAGGCAGATTATGTTTCGGTATGGCTTAATATACTGCCAATGCTTTAGAACATGTGCGTATAACTTCAAACTAAACTCTCAACTAAATATCTGCGTATTTAACATGTGAAAGCCCAACGTCCAAGCTGTCTGCAGGCAAACTTAACGTAAAATATTGCCAGCTACACAGGGACACATATCTGATGTGCTATAGTCCCTAAACTGACTTAGTCCACTCACTAATCCTTTAGTATATGCCTAAACTAGATCCCGACACCATGTACTGTGATCCCTAAACTGACGTGTGTCCCATCACAATTTTTTTGTAATTATGTGACAAAGCTAAATTCTGAGAGTATGGACACATTATAATCCATTCTTGCAAGCCTGATAGATATTTAGAATCGAATTTCGATGATTGCAACCACTTGAAATTTGTCGACAGCCCTCGTACGTATTTGTCTATCTGTGTCTCCTGTCTTCATTTAAATCGAGCTGCATTTCTTCATGTATGAACTAACCCACGCAACTCAAACGATTATAGAATCTATAGTTGGAAAGAAGCGATTGAGAAGGCACATCATGTAGACATGCCAATCTGAAAGATTACCCACAGTTACGATACTCCCTAATGCAAAATTACAGTGCAGCAGGACTCTAGGTGTTGTCAGTGCTGAGCCTCTGTTGTTCAGCATCAGCGGCAAACAAAGCACTTCTACTGGGGCGTACAAACTGTGATTATGCGCAAAGGTGTGTCAACTGTGCCATGAAACGATTGAATAGGCTCAAGTGCAAGGCCGCCCTTGCAGGAGTAGAAAGGGTCGAACACATGTCGCCTTTTAAAATGCCATAGCTCCTCCTCTGCACTTGTTCTCCGCACTCACTCTCTTTCATCCTCCATTGAGCCAATCATTCGCTCGTAGCAGAAGCCATAGCAGATGTCAGCTCTCGCACTCCGCGTTGCATGAGCTGTGCACTATGCTCACTGCCTTCCATCCAATCGTTTGCTTGGTTACAACATAAATATACACTGTGAAGTCCATAAACAGGCACAACAAGGACTGTAATAGCAAGCATGTTTCTGTAGGCTATAGCTTTTGTAATATCCTCTTCAGATACTGCATGTACCATTGTGCACACCTAAATTATGCATCAAAAGCCAGATCTAAATGTAGAAATTTTTTATTATGTTGCATACATCTTGTAACCCTTCTGATTAGACTCACGTTGAGAGTATTATGATACTGTGTGTAAAGTGCTTTCCTTAAAGAAGTTGAAAAGTAGACAGCTTGGTCACAGCATGTTTCATGTAGCCGGCTTGTATTGTTTTTCAGAATGTCTCCCATTAGACGTATTCTGAAAGTGGTTCGCCAGGTGACTTTTAAAACAGCTAGGTTTAAAACATTTAAATATTTTCACAGGTGACATTACTATATAGAGTTTTAGATAATGTTGCTATTCTACAAACTTCCGAATTAAACTCTCTGATTGACTTTAAAAACATTTTCCTTCTAATTCAGAGCAAGAGAAAAAAATGCAGTAAAATTGATACGTGATTGGCAAATTGAATAGTTCCTCTGCGAATGCAGCAATACTCCTGACCTGACAGCTGTCAGAAATAAAATACATAAATGTGTTAATGTGCCGATATAAAGAAGGTTCAGCATAAATGCATTGCAGATGTTTAATTCATACCTCTGCATAGTCGTCCTCTTCCTTCTGTCGAATCTCCAGGGATGAATCAAGAACGATTTCAGCAGAGGATAATATGCTGACCTGGTCAACTGCAGCATAGTCCTGCAAGTCACGATGGGCACAATTTAAATTAAGAATATGCTGTTTTTACATAATGTCTTACTTTATGGAAATGCAAGAGTGCCTGCTTGCCCACGTAGACACAACTGAATTACTATATGAAAATTCGACGAGGCGAGCACTTCTTCGGGTAAGCATACGTCAGTTGACTCGCTATTCCATTTCACTGCTTTATTATTTCGATCTGCATGCCCCATCAACTGACTGAGTTTATATTTCAAAGGAACACATTAGGGCCATGATGAACACCCCAGTGGGGCTCAGATAAACTTGATTACTTTACTAATGCCACAGCTCAAATATGCGTAGATGCGTGCTCCATATAATCCAGCTTTTCTGTGTTTTCTCCCCTCCCCTCCTTTGTAACAAACTTCTGGCCATGCAACCACACAGGATTTCACGCCTAAAACATATGAGGTAACTCACCTCAACAAGAGTAGCATTCCACAGCCTAGCTGCAATGGTGACTGTAGCAGATGACTGCTTCTTGAGATTACGAATGCTGCACCGAAACTTGAAGCACTTGGCGCTGCCCCTATGACAGTTCTGTTTTAAAAGGACACATTTTAATCCATCTTGAGATACAATGGCTTACAACATAACGAAAATGTTTTCAAGCCATTTTCACATGTCTGCCTTTTTTAGCATAAAACCATCAAACCACAGTAGTAAAAAATTGTTGCATCATTTCAAAGTATCCATCATAATGATTGAATTAGACAATTCAAAAATGTCTGGCAACAGTTCAGATTGATGCCGCAAAAGCCACTCACAAGATACTGCAGCTTCACTGGTGCTTAAATGATAAAGAGGAGCAAAATAGAAAGTTTTCCAACTTTCATTTACATGTGGCCTTCATTTACATGAATTTAACAACCACAGGTGTCTATAAAGCTGGAGTGAATCTTTTGCATAAATAAATATGGACAATTGCTGAAAGAAAAAGCTTCATTTTGACTTACGTGGCTGTGTGTGCTTTCACTGCACCAATACTGTTAAATACTGTGTGAAAAATCTAGGCACACCTTCCTTATCTATGCAGAGCAGGCCATGCACACGTGAGCATCAGTATGGGCACCTGTCTTGTTGTTTCTATTATCTTTGCCTAGTTGGCACATAGCAATTCTTCAACTGTGACTAAACACCAGCTAGATCAAGCTGAAGTTCTGTTTAAGCTATTCAGACTGTACAGAAGGTTTTTTAAAGACTCACCATTGTGACAAGCCTGACAGTCTTGCCCTCAAGGCGCACCTCCTCAGGAGAGATAACTATCTCCCTTTTTTCGCGTTTCTTCGTGCGACTGGCAGCAGTTATAGCACTGGGTCGGTCCTAGAGGAAAAAAGGAGTAGAGGTGAGTTACAATACAAACACGGACCAGGAGTTTTCCAGCTTGTGCACCATTATCAAAGGCAACCATTAGAATCATCAATATTACAGTGATAGAAGTGCCTTTTTACTTCTTGAAGAATACTTTGAAGCAGCCATAAGTGTTTTTGGAGCAAAAAAGAATGCTGCTTTAGAGCAGCTATCGGTGTTTTAGGAGCAGATATTAAATTTCCCATAGGTTAATTGCAGTTCAGAACATTGTCGAGACATCTCATAAATATTAATACAGTACCTAGAGGAAAAAAGGAGTAGAGGCGAGTTACAATACAAACACGGACCAGGAGTTTTCCAGCTTGTGCACCATTATCAAAGGCAACCATTAGAATCATCAATATTACAGTGATAGAAGTGCCTTTTTACTTCTTGAAGAATACTTTGAAGCAGCCATAAGTGTTTTTGGAGCAAAAAAGAATGCTGCTTTAGAGCAGCTATCGGTGTTTTAAGAGCAGATATTAAATTTCGCATAGGTTAATTGCAGTTCGGAACATTGTCGAGACATCTCATAAATATTAATACATTTATGAAATATATTCAACAGACAAATATCAATGCGAATTTCATATAGCAAACAACAGCAGGTTGTTAAAAAATGTGCTGTGAAATGAGACACCATTTAAAATACTAGTACTTGTTGCAGAAATAATATCAAACCAGAAAAAGCTGAGTGCCACATTTTAGAAGTAACCACAGTCCCATATAACTGTTGCCAAATAAGCAGTAGATAATCTGTGCGAGATAAAAGCAATCCTGCTCATTTTCACATTTCACCACATTAGCCTGCATGTCCACCAGAGAAAAAAAAACAAAACAGCCAAACGAGCTATATGCTTAATATGCCAATTCTTGTTGCACAAATGAGATCAGAGCCGATAATGCTGCACACTAGTAGCACACTGGGATGATAGTACACAGATTTTTCTCAGTTTCTTGAGGAATTGAAGTTCATTCAAACAGTAACAGTCAGTCATTCTCATTCTCGCAGTGTTATCTCAGAATAGGTTTAGAGCAATTACTAACAAAAATTTCTGTTTGGAGCAGCATGGAGCAGCAATTTTCTTTTGGAGCAATTGCAGCAGCACTTTCATCACTGTATTACACTATCTCTTGAGATAAATTTCATGTTAGAATATTTCATATTATTAAATTTCATATTATATAAATTTTGTATTAGGAGATTTCTTGATTAAGCAAATGAACAAAAATTAGAAGCAGAAATGTTCCATTCAGCAAATTTATGCAGTTTCACAAAACACAGTGCCGAGCACTACTTAAACAAATGAATGAAGTGCACTGCTATTCTATTGTTAAGGAAACCAGGATAAGTGACTTACCTTTAATCCAAGTGGGTTAACCTGACCCTCTTCCATGAAGCATTCTCCATCCCCAGCCACCTGAAAGGAGCCAATAATGAAGCATTCTACCGAATCCAGTATTCTTCAAGTACCACAATGTGCTAGGTAATAGATGTTGACTGCTTACTAGTCTGTACATGATTACATGACGTCACTGTTTAGTGCCATGTGGCACATGAAAGGTTGTGGCCAAGAATTGGGTGGGGGGGGGAGGTGTGGAACGACAAACTTTGGCAACTGGTAGTTGCTGTGAAAGTTTGTAATTATTTTAGTGTCATTTGAAAAGTTGAAGCGTGTAAATATTTCAGGGGAACGGAAGGAGCCAGAACCCATATACCCCGTTACGGCTCCTGGTACATGCTCTTACATATGCTTCTAGAAAATTAACACAGAAAGTTTAGTGAGGTTTCATTGATGATATAAGTTGTGTCCTAGCAGATATCTGCAGCCTGATTACAAACCTGAGGAACATCAGTCACATATAGGAGGTATTTTCCATGCTGCTGCTGGTTTTCAGCTTCATATGGCCAGGAAACAACCACATCAAGAGAGGGTACAGCCCAAGGACCATGGTTGAACACCTAAAAAAAGAATGAGTGGCCATACACAATAAATAGATAGTTCAGCAGATGTATACCTGAACTCAAGTAAGTCAGCAAGTACAAAGCTTTTTGCACATGAGTTGAAATTTTCGCTGTGAGCTCAGCAACCTAACTCCTATTCATCAACCAATAATGTGACGCTATGTCTCGCCATGAAATATCATAAGCAGGAAGTAGTTGCATGCATTTATTTACAAAGATAACACAAAAATATTGCCGGAGGCTTGCTTTACGTATATTCATAGGTTGTATGTCATTTATGTAACAATACTGCGCACAAAATGAACAAGTCCATGTGGCCATTAGAGAAAGCACTGCGACATGCCGAAAGCAGTCAACACTGGTTGACAACAATTGTCGGTACATTCAAGTCTTCATCTTCCCACTGACTTTCTTGTTTAGACAGAATAACCATGGCATTAAATTGATTAGCACAGTTTTCATATTTATTGTCATACCAATGGCAAATACACGAGCAGTACTTTTTCAGAACAAAAAGTTAAGAAAAATAGCCACTTAGCCACATAAATTTTCATTTCTATTGCTTGAATACAAGATTCTAATATGTAAGATGTGTACCGCTAGTTCCTTTATGGTCGAAATCTCGATGAAAAGAAAATCACCACATAGATTATAGCTTCTTTTTAGCCAAGTACGCAATGGAACAAATGCTAAAAGGTAAGGACATCAGTCAGGAGGAAAAAAGCAATGTTCTTTCTACACTTCAATATACATTTGCATGCTCAAGCACACATCATTACATGGTACTGTTCAAGAGTTAATGCACTAACAGCAAGAAATGATGGAGAAAACCCTACCTGATAGGTGTGGGTAACCTTGCTGCCGATTTCATCAAAATGTTTCATGGCATGTGCACCAACAACAGCACCTCCATACCAAACCTGTTCTGGTTGGGTGGCTCTGTAAAGAAAAAGGTGCTCCATTTTAGAACTTTCTCGGTGTGAACAGGTGCACAGGTATTGGTGTCATTTCACTGGAAGAATCACTCACAAAGACCTAATTAGCCAGAAATATCAAAAGAAAGATCTACATTCAACAAATTTCTGTGGGCGCTAATGGCCAAGCATAGAAGAGAGAAAAAAAGAAAGTAATCACCCTCTAAGTTCAAGTTCTGCAACACGAACAACATTAACGTTTATAGCCAGGTCTTCTTGTGGGCTCACTTCTTGGCTTGTACTAGAAAAGGACAGCAAAAGAAGCATTTAAAATGATGTCACTCACAAAAGCTCTTCATGAGAACTAAAAGATAGCACAACTTACGTATTAGCCTTGATGGTAAATTTCAGGCTAGTTTCAGCATCGGCCTCACTGCGAGTATTAAACCGAAGAAGTATCTCGACCTGTAAGAAACATAGAATGACTTCGTGCAATAAACGCAAGCCAGTGTCGTCAGGACTAGCATACAATTTCAAGAAAATTTCAACAGCACAGGAGAAAACACAAACGAATGAAAAGAGGTAATGTGGACAAGCACTGTCTGCTTGACAATGAACTACCAACACGCCCAAACATTCACGTTAATCTTGTATACTACAAAGCACAAAAGAAAGTTCAGTTGTGGTGAATAACTGGTGCCCCTGTTTGAATGATGTTTTGGTGTTCTATGGTTCTCTAGATATACGAGGGGCATTCATAGAGTTCGTGTTATGGGCACGAAAAAAAAAAAAGGCACGGAAATAAAATCTGAGTGGCAGCTTATTCTTCCTCTACGTATTTTTGTGCAAATCACGCACCTCTGATATGTGAGCTGCCGCAGGCTGTTGCAGTGGAACTGTTCATTTTCAGAGTTTCAGAAGAGCTCGACATGAGCAATGACTTCGCCATGCCCACACTGTTTTCCGCGCAGTGCGATGGAAGAGAAGTCTCTTCGTGCTAGGTCAGGTGGATATAATGGGTGGCGACAAATTTTGTAGCATAAGGAGGCTGCATGCGTCACCATCATCTGTGCTGTGTGAACTAGAATTTCCTCATGGCTGCTGTAATTTTTGTTCAGGTGCCCTAGTGACGTACCGCGGTGTTATATAGAACAAGAGTGTCATGTAGCGATGCAGCTAGACATATGCACACTCATTTTGATGCCTATCGTGTACGCCTTTTATATATTCATCATACTGACTATACGAACTTTATGAACACTCCTCATATAAATAACTAGAACCCTAATGAAGGAAATAAAATCTTTTTTTTTTTCTGAAGTCTAACTGCACATCTTATATGTTTAAACTAAACTTAGAAACAGGGATATGTTTTGTAGTATGCTTACAATGAAGATCACCACTCACCTCGCCCTGGTTGAGAGGATTTCCAAGCTCACATTTAACATGTGTAGATTGAGGAACACAATCAACAACATCCAGGCCCTGAAAGATGCATGAGAGTCTAGAGTTGCAGAGAATCAAAGAAGGGGATGCACTCAATTTGCACCAATGAATTAGTATAGACAAATGCTACAAGTGCATGAAGTACTTGGCAGAACAGATTACTTGATAGGATCACTGCTTGACAAATACACTGAAGCTATAAAAGATCAACAAGAGTTTAGGTACTTTGTATTAACCTAAGTAAGAGACATCTTCAATGTGTGTCAATGCATGCTACTAAAGATTAAATACTGTTTCACTGCAAACAGAAATAGATAAGCAAGAGGCGATAAAGACAGCTCTGTGTCTCTAGTACTACCCCACAATATGGGTAGCACTAGTACTACCCCACAATATAGCTCTGAATTCTACATCAGCAAAGTGTACTGAATCTGGACTACCACGCAGTAACCCCATCCAGGCTTCAATACGTGCATAACAAATGAAATAGTTTCAGAGTATCAAAGCAAGGAGTCCATTCAACTTGTGTCAATTACTTCTACATCACTAAATGTAATTAACCTCGCTGCATCACTAGTTTAACATTTTGATGATATCATTAGAACACATAAAATAGAACAAAATCTGCTCATAGGAGATTTCAGCATGTATAGTTAAGTAGTGATGGAACAAGAATAATGAGAACTGTAATTTAAACGATATCATAAGGCTGTGCTGAAGACAAGGTAGAAAATGGTACATGTGCATAGAATACACTGGTAAATAATAACCACTTACACGAAGGAAGCGGGGCAAATGTGAAATTCTTAAAAAAGTTTTAATCACATAAACAAATAAGGGACATGCAATCATGTTGTTCTGCTCTAAACATAACCTATTCATTAAGCAAGTTGTTTCACAGTCTTTCATAATGAAAGTTCCATGAGAGCTATATCATACAGAAATAGATTATTATTTTATTAGAGGCATGCTCCAGACAGCAGTTCTTGCCTTTTATCTGAGATGGCTCTTATAAGCACGGTACCTCGTATGCATTTTCTTATCAACCCGTATTTTACTGTCGACACAATGATGTCTCTTATACCCATTTGTCTCTTATACCAGTGTCTCTTATAAAGTGGTTCAAGTGTAAATCTAATGTATGCTCTATTCAAGGAGGTCACCATTATGGAATGATGCAGCAATCTTATTACAATAAGCTGGATGCCAAGTACCCACATGTTACTGTCAGTTGGCTCTTGAAATGCGAAGAAAATGTGCAAAAACATCAGCATATGTCGACACTAGACAAAGACACTTCCAGTGGCATATGCGCAAAGGTATGCCGCACAATCCGCATTTTTATTGACTTACTGTGGACAGAAGCTTGCGGCCAACATAGCTTAATGCAGGTGAGTGGAAGATGTATAGAGCCGCATCGTAGGCTGGTTCACCCCGGTTGAGCACTCTCACTGACATGTTGACATGTTCTTCGCCAAGGAACAACACAGGAACTCCTTCCTCCCTGAAAAAAGATTCAATGCGAGTTTTTCAAGACAGACTGAAACTTTCCTTGCTATCGCCATGAGCCCGTGTGAAGTGAAAATAACAGTAGCTACAAAAAATGAAAGTAACCTAAATTGACAGACCTAATCTGAATTTCTTTAGTGTTCAGTCATGCTTTTTATTCTCAGTGTTATGAGATACGTAGATGGGCCTCAAGAAATACGTGTAATTGGTCTAGATAATGTGGCATCCATGTGTAGCATTTTTTTTTTCTAATGTAGGAAGTGATCCCAGAGACTCTGAGAGCTTCCATGACAGCTGCAACATGGAAAAAATATAGCTGTATGCATTCCCAGCACAATCAGTCGTAATCAATGTGTTACTGAATTTACAACATGTTACATGGATACAATAGGGCTTTCAGACCTCAGAGTCTACACTGGTCATCAAAAATTATTAGTCAAAGTGTGCTGTGAACAGTGAAAACTACAACTCAGATTTGCTCATGCACTTACTTGGGCAGGAGTAATTTAGGTTGGACGTGGAGATCACTTTCACAAATGTCATTGCTTCCACAGTTCTTGAGGAAGCGTGCCTAGGATATGAAAGGCAAACAAAAATAGCCACTTTGATATCACACAGAACTTATTGAACGAGACATTATCATTACTGCCTAAATATGATAACAATGTATAATGCATTTCTTTTTCTTTTTTTTTTTATAATGATGTGATACTTATGGCAATACACAGTTATCAGGAGCCAGAAACCACACGTATGCAGCACTAGATTGTCACAGTACTAGCAGCACAAACTGTGCAAAATTTTCGTGCATTCAGTTTACTATACAAAAAGACTTTTTTGATCACACTGTGTTCATTACAGCAAATATTTCCACTGTCATGGTTTATTGAAAGAATAGTCAAGGTGCCGATTCATGGGCAGTCAATATTATGCAGAGTTCCATAATTGGTCATTTTTACCTGAAATTAATATGCACTCCTCAAAATTTGTGGTAATAACAAACTCCGTGGTTAATTTTGGCCACTTCTTAAATATGAACTGTTGCCATGTTCAAGCAGCACAATAGAGATATACTGGGATATGGCACAAACGTTATCAAAATACCACAACCCACTGCAACGCGTGGAATTGTTGATAAAGGATGCCCATAATATAGCATTAAAACTTGGAAACCCCGCAGAAACTCTCCTGGGATTTAATCAAAACAAAGAGTACCACAAATTTGCAATGCCAGAGACTCGCATGCATCGTAAGAAGCTAAAAAATAATAATGAAAAGAACTTGGACAGTGAAAAAGTCTGCCTAGGTAATTTTTGTGCGTGTGCATATGTATTATCAAACCAAATAGTTTAGCTTTAAAGGTAAGTAAGCTTCCTATAGCTACAGAGAAAAAAGCATTTCTATATTTCGGTCGTAAGTGCCTTTAATATGTTCATGCAAATTTGGTTAAAATTAGTTTGATTTAAGCTTCACATCTTTATGCAATTCACTGCAGAGTTTAACATAATCTTGAGACAAAATGGGAAAAAGAAATCTAAGTTTAGTGAACCTATTACTGAATAAGAGAACTAAAAGTTAGATAGTATTTTGATTACATATGAATCTCACAGTAATTTTTATACATTATGTTCTTGAACATTCATGTGATCCGAGAAGCAGTTAAGAAGACGAGGCTCTCATACATGCATGACATTCTCACCTCAAAGACCCTAGAGGCTTCCTTCTGGTTCAGGATTGGAAAGCGATCAATGTCAGGCAGGGAGGCACCAGGAATTGGGAGTCGAGGCACCCTCTGAACCAGCGAATAGCTGAGTTTCATCTTTATCGCACTCTGAATGTCAGACTTGTCCTGGAAAAAACAATTCATGATGTACGCAACAGATGATGTAGCAATACACTTTGAAAAAGTCTGTGCGCCGTGTTACTCAATATTGCTACATGCCAGGTACATGTAAAAAAAATAGTCGCACTACTAGGTGACTTTACTGCTAGGTGACATTACTTAATCCCAAATAATGATCGAGATGAAAAACTGAATACAACATTTTCAGCAGCAGCATATAAAAATTTCTAGAGAATATATAAATCTACGATCAAAGACAACATGCAAATTCTCTACAAGATTCTCTTCACAGATACCTTTTCGCTACCTATTAAAAAATGTAGAAGTATTGGTTGATAAAGATGACGGCAGTACATGACAGTACAGAGGGCAAAACCAAGAACAGACAAGACTGAATGCAGACGTTTAAAGAACAGCCTTTTATAAAGGCAGCTTCCACATTTAGACAAAGGCTGTATCAAAACAACACAAGACACGACAAAAAGAAGCAAAGAAAAAAATATCATTATATGAATACTCAAACATTTTTCTTCAACACATGATGAATGGATTTTGTTAGCAGTGACCACATGATACCTATCAGCCAAAAGACCTCCACGTGCACATCCAAAATCTAGTATTATACAGTGCTTAGGTCACAGTATAATAACTGTAATACCCCCACTATAATGCCCTTGGGTGCTGTGAGTACTATGACAGATAAATAAATACTAAATTAACAATATTTCAGTGGCTATACTTTGATAAATTTTTTCCCTCTTTTTCATTTCTGCAGCTAGTGAAGCAACAAAGGCAGTGCTGCATATGACAAAGAACTGAATGCAGTCAAAACAGGATTACTGAAAGCTTTGTGCCTGCCGTCATTTACTTGCTCTGCCATGTCTTTATAACTAAGTGCAGTGTCACAAACAAAGATTGCACATGCTATGAATTTCTGTAAACGAGATTCTGCACTTCTTCAAGCTTAAGAATGACCAACCTTGAGGTAGACCAGTTCCTTCGAACACTGTTCCCTGCCTGCAGCATACCATGGAACTTCCAGTTCCCGCTCCACGATGTTGGGATGCTCCGAGTTGGCAGACGCATTAAAGCGGACACGATAATACTTCTTGCCCGTGAACGTCTCAGCCTCGATACGGTAGTTGAGCAACAGTGCCGCCTCAGTGCCATTGCGCAGCTTGGGCATAGTGCTGTGCAGAAACTGGAAGCAGGCTTCGAAGGAGAAACTAAAGTAACATGGGGGAAAAGAAAATATTACCCACCACTCATTAGGCCAGCTCATGTATCACTATAGCGAGAAATTTTAGCACAGACTTCTCTACAGACCAGCCTATTTTTTTGCCCCATTTTTTGCTGTACGACGCGCAAGGGAGACAAAAAATATTGGTGGATGCTTGAGCTTTGCCTTCAAGAGCGGAACATGATAGCGTAATCAGGCCCTGTGTGCATCGCCTTCTCAAATGCTAGCCTGCTTTCGGTTCTCGGTAGAGGACTCGACCGTGTCACAAGGAAACGGATGTCTCTGCACATAACAGAGGCCATTTAAAACAACTATCTTAAAATGCCTACTGCAAGTACAGTTGCAAAGTGCCCACCACACCCCAAATGTTCTTTGTACAAATCAGCGAAGGAATTACTACTCATCCGTAAGGCAACACGGAAACCTACACAGCTGCTCACTTTGTTGAAGTGACACTAAAGGCAAATATTAAGTCGATGTCGATTCCTGAAGTAGCGGTCCATAAACCTCGTAGCGCTACTTTTGCACCAAGGAAGTGCTTACTTTGAAATAAAATCACATTTTAGTGGTCAGCATTGGGTTAGCGGACTTAAAATTACCCGTCTCAAAGTAGAAACTTTCACATCACTGTTGCTGTGCGCAACGTTGCCCGGCTTTAGTGTGCAGCCGCCAACACTAGTAGCAGCAGAGCAAGAGTAGTCGCAGCCACAGCAGCAAGAACGGCTGTTGAATAATTTTCTGCCATGGCCTTCGAGATGACAGGCGTGCTTGGTTCAACTGGGCCCCGCTAGATAGCATGACCTGTCAAGTTTAACCAGGCAAAAATTGAACGTTTGAACCACTCACGCCATTCCCCATAGCAACGTCCAGTAGTTCTTTTTTCCATGAATCAAACGTAAACGAACAAGGAGCATTTTATTACATCTCTTGGTGCACGTAAGGTTATTTATTTAACGCAGCTAGTTCAATTACTAGTAATTAATTGTAGGCAGTAACTCTCACGTTATTGGGAATATTTAGCGATTGTCCTACCCGTGGCGCATGTGTTTTCGTGCATTTAGATTAATTTTTCGTTAAGTAGAGCACTTATGTTGATAATATTGTCGTTTTAGATGTTGTCATAGATTGAGCTGACAAATTGTTATTTGCCTTTCGTGTTCCTCCAATGCTTCTGCTGCTGATGATTAATTATGTCTGAGCACTTCTTAATGAATGGGCCTTTAAAGTATTCACTTGTGGGAGGGAAGGGACAGGGGTTAATCCCCTCTTCCCCCAGCTTGCCCGAAGGAAACTTCTGGACTTCAAATAAAGTTTATTCATTCATTGTGTGAATTTATGTTTTGATGCCTGGCACGATTCTACGCTCCTGCCATGCAGTATATGACATGCGTTAAGGAGGCTCCTCCCACTACATGACATTCCTGCAGCGTTTTTTATCAAAGCAGCTTCAAGCAATCGCAGTGGCTCTGGAGGACACCTGCTTTGCTATGCAAAGGCCCTGGGTTTGATTCTCACTTGAACATAAGACTGTATTATAGTACTGATTTTAATAGTTTCATGCGGAGTTTGTGTGAAGTGATGCTTGGTAAAAAAAGATCAATGCTGAAATCATTTGCGTCACGTCTTTGAAACTATATTACACACAAATGCCATTCAAAAATTGACATCTGGTCAACATAGCAACGTCCAAATAGGAAATATCTTTCGTTTACCTATGCGACATGAGAATGAAAATAATGAAAACAAAATCGTATCATTTCATGACTTTTCTGCAGTGAACAGGCGATGCTATTAAGGTGCATCTTGAACTGATGCATAGTGCAGCATATGGTATTTGTCATGCTTATGATACCCAGAAGCCAAGGAGTCTCACTGAATCGAGGCACAATTCCAGCCATAAATTGTGGACACCATACCAACAAGAATGGCCAACATTTCAAGTTGCACTGCTTTCCAAATCACCACCATTTTTTGACAGCTGCCTTCAGAATTGATTAAAAAAATGGCTGGGCACTTATTAATGAAAACCGAGCAAAAACTATGAAGACTTCTTCACATTAAAAATCACTGTAGCTTTTGCACAGGAGGTGGAATGCTAAAGAGTCAGTGAAGTTATGGGTGCCCGTGGAGTCCTGGCTCTAGCTGTTTTGCTAAGCCTGGCAAATTTTCTCGGTCTTCCTTCGTCTCTTTATTTCTTTTCTCCTTTTGGTTCTTCTTTATTTTTATGTTTTTTCTATTTATTCATTTCTCTCTATCTTTTTATATATCTCTTTCTTCTCTTTTATTTCTTTCATATTTCATTACTTTCCTTCTCTCTCTCTCCTAACTTCCTCCTCCTTTCCAACTTTTTTCTCTCTACATGTACATGACTCAATCTATTTTTCCCTTTTTTTTAATACTCTTCCATTCTTTCCTGCATTTCTTTGCGTATTTCTCTGTCTCATCGTTTCTATGCTATGGTTATCCCTTTCCCTTCTTTCTCTCCTCTTCTCCACCACATCGCTCTTTATCAAGCTCACTTCTCTTTGCCACCTCCTCGCTACATTATGCTGTATCAGGCTATGTTTTGCTCTGCTATGACGCTCATATTCAGATCGAGGGTACACAGGATCAAATATCGCCTCACGAATAACTCATTTTGCTCTCTAATTCTCTTTCTCTCTCTGTCCTCCTTCTTTCCCCCATTCCGGTCATCATAGACCACGCCGGAGAAATCGGCACACACGTTCCGAGAGCAAAGCAGAAAAAGACGAAGCTCAAAAAGTGAATGTAGAGAGTGCGCATCGGTTCATGATGATGAATATTTCTGTTTCTGACAGGTAAACTATGGCGAGCCTAAACGGTTTTGGTGTTAACACAGGAATGATGCTACAGCACTGACTGCTTTAAAGAAATAGTAATATTACGCATATGGCCAACTACAATATTTCTAAGCCTGCACAAATATTAGCATATAGGCTCGCTAAAAGGAATTCGCAATGAATGATTACAAATGATTAAACAGTAACTTTTAAGTTATTTGTCAGTCCGTCCACTGAGAAACTGGTGCTTCACAGCTTTGCTGCATCATAACACTTTAGAATAATTCTAACTTCCATCATTCTCTCTCCTTTTAGACCCAAGTGAGTGCTGATATCATCTCACATAGCAAAATAGTTAATAATTAGATTTGTATTGTGAATTTCAAGTTGAATACAACTTTAATGAGTGAATAAACATTATTTAAAGTCCGGCAGTTTTCACCAGGCGAGGTGGCAGAATACGAAGAATTGAGAAAATCATACCCCAACATTCGAATATTTGTGTGCCCCTAATACAAACCTTATGATGGTGAACATTTTTCAATGTGAAAGTTATTTTCCATTCCACAAAATTTTAATATATTGCATGCCCTGTCGAATCAATTTTATTTACAGAGCTCTTACCAATAAAATTGGCATTTTTACATGAGAAGCATTTAACAGGTACTAGAGTCATGCATACTAACCACACATAACGACTGTCGGGGTCATCTGGGCAGCCCTGCAATGCAGGGTCTATGTTCTGCAGCGTCCCTTTGACTCTGGTACTGATGTCAATGATTGGACGAGCCCTATGTGCAGAAATAAAGAAGCAGTTATTAATAATCAAGGCACAGAGAACTCTAGCCTCAAAAATGTAATGCTAAACACTCTGAAGGTCAGTTAGTGCATGCAATCGCACGTGATATGCATGACCGTTTACCTATGATATGTAACACTGCTATAGGCTGAAGAATCGTCCGGTGAGGGCAGACCAATATAACTGTGTTTTGAATCCTTGCCCAAATAGTACTAAATATTATTTTTGGAGTGAATTCAAAGCGAAATTGCTGATTTAGTTGAATGATTTCGAATCGAATTTGAATAGTATATATATCATATATTGTAAAGGAACATGTGTATATTTGCCATGACCCAACTAACCTGTACAATATACTTCTTAAATTGAAACTAAGGCATCTGAAACTGTTTTCGAAAGGAAGTGGAAGCAACTTTGAATGACATCAAGATTAGGCTTCTGGTATAATGCAAGCAATAACCTATAAACAAGTTACACTTTTAAATTTCCTATACTTACAGCATATGAGCTGATACAATAAGCTTTTAAGCTTAAGATACGAAGAATTGATGAAAGATGAAATGTCCATTCAGTCTTGAAACAACCATTCACAACGATTTGAATTTTTCCTACAGAGGTGTATTCACTGTACGGCATCACTCAGCTGCAGTACAACCACCTTTACAAGAGTGTTGTATGCAGACTGATATACGTTATTTGTTCATTTTGAATACTCGATTTCCATTATTTAGGTTGAAATCGAAGCGATTTTGAATACTGTAATATTCTTTCGAATAATTGAAGTGCTGGAATATTCGCACATTCCTAGTGTTCTGGGGTTCCTAGCTCTCTTCTGCAAGCTCTCATCTCTTACTGTAGGTGAAGCGGTGTGAAACAGCACTGAACATTTAGCTACTAATAAAGCAGCCCAACAATAGTTTCTGCAGTGGCACTAGAATTCACATTTATAAATTCAAATTACTGAAATATTCCTATTCTTATGATATTTTAAATTTTTTTGCAAGCAGGTGCCTGTTAATGTGACCATTCTGTGGCAGTTAAAAGGGGCCGTAGAGCGGTCACCCACCACATTGCGGTTTACAGTGAAACATAGAAGGGAAGGGTCTATTGTGCCTTTAAATGTATGAAAAATTGACTGTAAAAGAATATTTCATCGCTAGTGAGCCCTAGAAAGCGCCAGTTGTAAACCCCGCACATCGCTGGTCACTGCCATTTTGACATGGCGTGTGTGACGCCAAGTGCTTCACGAAGTAAAGTTGTCGTCTTCAACCCAAGTTTCAGACACTCAAAACCATTCAGTTCTTCAATGGCGAATTGAAGAAAGCTCCAATAGCTCCACTGCATGTGCAGCTGACCATAAGACAATATCATTGGCCAGAATACCAGTATACAGGTACTTGCAAAGTAAGTGGCTCATTACGTCACGACTTGTAAGTGTGCCACTGCTGTCAGACTCTCGAGACACTAGCGTTTTTATAAAAATGCTCGTTACAAACTAAGTTCTTGGCTGAAGGCATTGAAATTTCGCCACCTTGTTCGTGAACACCCAAATTTTAACACACATGGCACAAGTAATGAGTGGAAATCGGCTGTCACGACCCCTTTTAAAGGAGTGCAAGCATATGTGCTCCCCAAGAATATAACAAATGGGTGTGAAGCCAAAGCACTGAGGAAAGCCACGTAAATAAAAAGCTGGCGTGTGCTCATCAAAAGAAGAAGGTGAAATGTGTGCAAAAAATTTAATATGTGTTTTGGTGAGTGGTAGGGAAGAAGTTGGAAGGAATGCCATCAGGAAGGGTGTTGTCTTTTCTATTCGTGCTAACAAATAAAGGTATATGCATTCACAAGACACCTGATACAATGAAAAAAATTTTATCATCAGTTCAGCTTCAGTACAGCATGCGCAATACAGCGTACAGAATTGTAATCTGTACAGTCAGCACGTGGCATGTGCAGGAAGTTATGCAGGTGTTTACAAAGAACATGAAGTATTACTGTGAGAAAACTGAACTGTCATTTTTTATTGAATCGTTGATTAACCAAACAAATACTACACTTGTCAGCATGTCAGATAATTTGCAACATGTTTATCATAAGAGAAGTCTGCTGTGTGTTCACGCCAATGCACAATATGCATTCTTTCCAATAAGAGCGAAACCTTGATGATGGACATATCATCTGAATCTAAACTCACCTGAAGAGAACTATGCTGTCTGCCTCATAGTTGCCCGAAAGAAGGTCAGGATAGCCATTAGAATCCAAATCCATGCCTCCATACAGTGAGTAGCCCAGTGTGCTAACCCTGTCTTTTATCTCGTTTGGAAGGTCTCGTGGACGTATAACCTGAACAAAAACAAGCATAGGAAGTGCAATTCACAAGGTGATGCAAAAAAAAAAATGCAGAATGAGGATACTGTAATAAACATGAGCCTAAAACATGACTGAGGGTAGAGAGTTTCTTGGCTTACTAAAGAGAGCATTGTTTAGACCATATACACTACAGGGAACATTCTAGCCCTAAAGGGAGGCAAGAGCTTTATGTGGTAGGCCTGAAAACATGGACAAGCTAGCATACAAAAAAAAGGCTCATTAAAAAAGCACTTGTGGATGGTTGTTTGACTTTCTCCTAGTGTTGACAACCAGCTAATCGGCAACTTGTAACTAACAACCTCAAACATCATCTCGTGATCCTGTCATTGTATGCACAATGCATGATGAGGGCTATACATACAAGTTCAGTATTGAAGTTAGTCAGTTTCTTTTCACTGGTGCCCATGTTCACACTCCTTTCTTTTTTAGAATGAATTTAAATTAACCAACGCAACCAACTGTTATTTTAATATGTTAATCAATCACTTAACATTACCAAGTCGAAAGGTCATACATGAACTTTAGGATTGCTTTCTTAACATAGGCTATGTGCTTATACGATTTGTGCGGCATATAAATTGAATAAAAATGAGTCTCTGTTAGTCATGTCCCTGAAAGGCATTAAAGAAGAGCTATAACTGTGTCAATATATAAAACAAAATCATGCCATTTTCTCTTACTAGTATTTTCACTAGGCCACACATATGCTATACACAGGTCAAAGTGTGGAGTATCACATGTACTTGCCTGAGATGGTTCCTTGACAATGCCATCTGCTGATCCCAAATATATGTAGATGGCACCACCCCCACTTTCGTATGGCGCACCAACAGCAAGATCTGAAAGTGAAGTTGAAAAAAACAATATCCCTTAGATACGTGGCTCCATTGCGTGCAGCCAATAAGCACCAAGAGGAATACAACACCGCAGCTTGACAGGTGCTAGTGCAAAGGTAAAACCTAATAACTTAATTTGCTTGAATGTCTAAGAACAATCTTTAAGAGACGCAAATGATAAAAAATATGCACATACATTCTCATCACAAATCATAGCTCTTTACACACTACACATTATCAAATATCGTCCAGCACTTTATGGAGTAGATCACTCAGTATTCACTTCGTGCATGCACAATTAGAGAAGTGAGTTACCAGGATATCCATCACGATTGACATCTCCAGCTGACGACAGAGCAAATCCAAACCTGGACTCATCTTTCCCAATAAGCTTGATGTAGCTTAGTGTCCTTGGATATGCCCTGATGTGATGCAAAACAGGAAAAACGATGAAGAAAATTCCACTCCAAGGACATTTGGATGCATTCCAACTTAAACAGAAAATTCCTTAGTTGTTTCTTGTAAAACATAATATTAGGTTTTTATACTTAGCTACCTTTTTGGAGTTGAGGTAGATGTATATAGCGCCTCCTTCACCTTTGCCATGATAGAACGGAGCACCCACGACAAGATCAACCAGTCTGCAACAAAACGTACCTTTCAAAAAATGCACTATAAAAAAAAAAGAGGACATCTATAGATAATACAATCCTGTGAAGTTTTTCAACTTTATTTAATGGGTATATCAGCAAATACTGCTTGAACACAGTGTGAGTGAGTGAGTGTAAACATAGTGAGAAAGGAATGTCTCTTTTGCCTTTAACTAATCTACTAGCAAATAATTAATGAGTCATTCAATATCACAGGCAATATCACAAATAAAATGTCAAAACGACGCATCTTTTCAAACAAAAACGAGATCACATAGCTTCTTTTCAACGAGGCATTGTTCTTGTATGAACAATCAGATGCTGAAGAAGAACTGAAATAGCTCAACAATATCTTGAGTGAATAAGAGGAAGCTTATTCTGCCCAAATAAGAAAAAGTGCCCTTTCCTCCATAAAGCATTCTAGGGGAGGCCCGAGCCTCCCAGCCCCTCCAGTACTCTCCGTCTATGCTTGAGTACCACACTGCAGTTATGCAAGCAGAAATTTTTTCTGAGGGGAGTTCAGTCATGCTTACATACATTTGTGCATGCATTTGTGTGTGTGCATATATATATTCCAATGCCACGATTAAGGCCTGGGTTCAATTTTAGCTTGTATCTCAGACCCATAGCCAGGAGGGGGCACTCTTGAATTTTCATTATTTGTTCTTGGTAAAACAACCCCTCCATCTAAATTTAGGGGGGGGGGGGGGGAAGGAAAGAGCTGGGGCTTTAGGGCATCCCCCCCCTGGCTATGGGCCTGTCATACCCTGTTGTTTTTTTATCATTAGAAGCAATAGATGAAATTGCCACGTAGTATATTGGCTTCATTAGTGAGCTCAAAACAGGTTATGTTGCAAATGTTTCTGTAAAACACTTGCACCTTACGCACCCATCTTTGTTGAGATCCAGCGATGTGAGTGAGTAGCCAAAGGATGAAGCAAACTGCTCTCCATTCAGAATAAGCAGTGTGCGCAGGTTTGACAGGCCCTTCTCCTTGCCGAAAAACACCACTTTTCCAGTTCCATTTGAGCGAGGTGCCCCAGCCACATATTGCATATTGTTGTCAAAAAATTTGCCTGATGTTACTGACATTCCTGTAAAAAAATGGCTTGTTTAGAAGTGCTTTCAATTGTCTACACTTTCAAATGTCTACACTTAATCAGCCCTCATCAGAAAGCTGATTTCACACCTGATTTTATTTTTCCCCTTTAGTTTACTCTGTTGTGTTCTATAATCATTTTGTTGAGCCAAGGGGGCAACCAATTTATATAGCCTGAAGACCACCACTGCGAAACTTGACCACTGAAAACCTGGGTGCCTCGTGATGCGACGATAGTGAAGCAATGAAAAGTCGGCTCGTTCCAGAGCAAGTCATGTCAGTCATTACTAAATCCACCAGCAATGCTAACCAAGTCTCAGGAGATGTCAGGTGTGAAAATGAATGGCCACTCAGATGAATTACACTCATGTGTTTTTTACGCTTGTTAGTGCAAATTTGACGCCCTGACCTTGGGCAGGAGTTGGTGAGCACTGGGAAAGCGAGTTTTACGTCATAAGAAAAAAAAAAAAAAAGAAACGTGCCTGGCTAATTTAAGCATTTTAAGAGAGGGAATAAGGTGACAATGAAACAAACATGAGAAGTGAAATGGACAGGCACTTCATGGGACAAGCAGCTCTCCATGTCACTTGTAATGTTTGTCTTGGTGCCTTATTCCTTCCATTAACATGCATAACACATCACCAAAAAAAGTTCTGGTTGAATGTAAGCATTCACTGCTATGCCGCAGTATATTATACAACAACAGGATGTCATAAAAACAATATGTAAATGCAAAAAAAGGTTGCAATATCAGAATAACACATCCTATAGAACACATGCATTATTTGAACACTGCACACTAGAGAAAGAAAAGTAAGTAAGAATGATGAGCAAGTGGGCAAACGTGTTAAAACAAGAATGTAGGTATGCCACCTATGAATCATGAAATACTAATATCTGCAAAGGTTTTCACATGAGAGAAAAAATAAATGCAATGCAAGTTTTGCAATGTCCTTGCCTTGAGAAGTAAAAAGTTTGTATTAACCAACAGATTGTTCTTATCAGCTTTCATTAATAAGCTTTGAAACCACAGCAATACATTTAAAACATCCATAAGAATTTGAATAAAACAATATTCCAGTTACTTCAGTTTTATTGCCATAGGGTGACAAGATTCATGCCAGAATAAAATGTCCATATGAAAAAAAAATTGCGCAACACTTCTTATACGAGGTTATACAAATAGCTTTCAGAATTTTATATCCAAGGACTGCGATACAATTATGAGGCATGCTATAGTGAGGTACTTTATATTGTGGCGACCATGTTGGACTCTTTAGTGTACACTTGCACACAATTATTTACCTGAGCCTCTTTGAATTTTGTCCCCACTGATCTGTGCCTATTGTGGCCAATACCTGCCTGTACAGTGGCAACTACTTCACTCTCATAACACGGCCCATTGCTTAGAAATGGTCAGTTGCACTAGTCAAGTACTCGAGCAGGCAATACCAGGTACTTCCACCATAGATGTTCCGTTGAGATACATGCCAGCTTATCAATGTGTGGCGGAATCTGGACACCGGTTCTCAATGGCACGCAAGTCTGTGGCAAGCACTTGCAAAATCTGTGCGAGCAATTGTCTTCTAGTAAAAGAGTTCAGTAGTGCTGTATTCGGATTTATTTTGCAGAGAAAGGATAGGCAATGCTTCCACACTGGGAGCGGAAGAGACAATCATGGCCTGACGGAGAAACAGTTTCTCACAAACTACGAACTATGTTCATCTCGTTGGCACCCTTCAGAGTGACATCTAGAGTGACATCTACTGGTACAAACTTTCTTGAATTGAAGCTGATCACAGAAAGCACTAACCAAGGTAGCTGTACTTTTCAACTGGTGCCTCTTCATCCAAGAATGGACTGACAGACCAAGCCCAGTCACGCAATGTCCGTTTCACTGTTATAGTGAAGACTGTTCCCTTCCATGTGTAGGGACCAGGAGCACCCAAAACAATGGTCGAGTCCTGCAACAACACAACAGCAGCTTGGCAGATTCTGTTTAATAGGTATGCCATACAGAAGCAAAAAACATGGTTGATCCCTCTTTTTAGGAATTGGTTTAACACAAAAGTGAAACATGTCCTCGCACAGGTACTTGAGCATTCATTGTGCATTGTTTCACCACAAGGGTGAAGGAATGAATGCTACAGTAACGAATGGCAGTGTCACGCGAAGAACGGCAAGCAGCTCGAGACTTGCAGCGCACACCTTAGGCAGAAAGCACGCACAAAATGAGCATACACCAGGACGAGCACAAACAAACAACTGTCACAGCTCGACACTTGAAGCATGCTGTTCAGACAGAAAGAAAGATGCACGAAATAAACGCACATGTATACACAGGACAAGCCCAAACAACTGTCACAATTCTTACTTCTTCATGTGCGAACAGCGTACTCCTTTCGTAAACACAGCCGTGGCAGCAAGTGAAGTGACCTTTGTGCTCTAACGAATCACAAGTCTGACAAGCGCGTCCACACACGAAAGACAATGCTCCGTGAAGGCTGCACTTACCGAAATGCAAGAGGCAACAGCTTTTAGGGCGCGCTCAACACGAGCCCGTTGTGCCATTTCCTCATTGCATGATGACGCAAACGCGCGGAAATATGGTTAGAGAACCATCAAACGGTTATAGAGTATATAAATAGCTTGCTGTTAACAAGTTCGAGAAGATTCGCTCTGTGGCGTAGTGGTAAGCGTCGCGCAGTGAGGAGCACGAGATCACTGGTTTGACGCCCCGCTGCAGAGCTATTCCTTCTCATTTTTTTTTTTCCTTGCATCTGTTAGTACATATTTTACAACGTCATATCCGTGACAGAAATACGGCAGCAGAGCTGTGGTGGACCCCAACACAAAACACTTTAGTGTTACAAATGGTGAGGGGGATGAGGTGACATTACTGAGGTGTCATTAATTAAGTTGGCACAGTCATTCAGAGCCCTTTATGCAATTATTTCTAGGTTAAAAGTAGTCTGCAGGTGGCTAAGTCGCAATTTCTCGAGTTAGTGCTTTACCTTGACATTCCTCATTCGATATTCAAAAGTGCCATACTGATTGCTGAGCCAGAGTATAAAGGCTTGGTCACAGATTGTTAACGAGCTCTCGCCTTTTGAGCTATTTCATGGAGCTGAGAGAAGGCTTTTGCACCAAGAATGGGTACAAAAAACTTCTTATGATGCATTTGATGAGTGATGAAGACTGACGTTTATATAGTAATGAAGTCTGTCATAGAAAAAAGTGCTCTCACCTCTGAAATCACGCCACTGGTTCCAGCCTGACAGAAGCCAAACTGTTCATGTGCCTTGTCAACCGGCCGGTTTTCACAAGGTTCCCAAGCTCGGTGCAGATCTAGGAACTGGCTAAGCGTGTAGCAGATACCTCGGCCCCACCGGTAGGTCGCACCCTTGTTGACATACCTGTGGGCACATGCCTGCACAGCAAAACAATGATATGAACAAACATGAAAATGATAAAATCAGAATGCAGCAACATTATATTTGTCAGCTCAAGTGTTAAGACCAGTAATGAACCAGAGTCACGGCGAAATTCAGCAAAAGACAATGACACTTCCTTTTAAATGCATGAAAAGTACGAGTTAATGGTCAAACAAATGCAGATTTCAAAGTTAAGCAAGCCATGAAGGACATTACCTTAAACCAACAAAGAAAATATGAAGAAAAAAAAAGCAGCACTCTTGTTCGACAACAGACTTGTACATGAATGAAACACAATAGACTCTCAGTAAACAAAAATTTGTTAAAACTGAACTGCTGCTTAAATGAAACGAGTGACTCTGACAAGATTTGATTAATACTTGTATTCTGCACCCCTGGTCATGACTTCGTAAATGAGTAAATGAAACTTAAGTTAAGCTGATTGTATTTTCCTGGTCTCTTCAGGTTCCACTTAATGAGAGGGTACTGTAGCTGACAAACATTGTGGATGGCTACGTAACACATTCTTCTATTAAAGGGGCATTTGCAAGTATTTCAAAAGCCACGTTGACTCTGCTAAAGAAATCTGCATACACAGTTTGTACAGATGACTCTTCATGATGCACCATGCAGCATTAAAGGTATTGAAATAAATAAATAAGTAGGTGCCTGTTTCTCCAATTGCTCTATCTCCTATATTAAATACGAGTCCCATGGTCCTTTCTCTTTTGAATCATGCTGAAGTCATCTCCAATACCACCTGGATGTTGCTTCTACAGCCACTGCAGATTTGCAGGATAACAAGTTTGTCGCACTTTCTGAATACTTTGCTGCTACACCTAATCCTTCGGAAGTTATGTATGAAGCTTGTGCACGAGAGTAGGGGTGTCCCAAAGAACTAGTTAACATTTTTATACAGTAGCGCATGTACCTTGTTATTCCAGCAGCAATAATTGGAAGGTAAAAGTAACAGGCAAATAAATTTATAACATCTAAAAATCTGCTGAGAAGGCTTTTTTCCCACAGGCAGTTTGACAGCTCACCAGAACGGAACCTCCAGGACGTTGGCTGTGGACAGTGACACCCAACCACTGGTCGTCTTTCAGCACCTCTTTATCAGGCGCTAGAGAAAAAAAGTAGATAAATGAGTTTACTGACTGATGAGTTGCCTAAACATTCACATGAAATATTGCTTTTTCCCTCCTCTTCACTGTTCAGAGCATTTTGCATATTCATTCATGATCAGCATCCTACAAAAATTGGCACATGCATTCTTAAAGGGACACTAAAGAGGAACAACGACTTGGTTTAGATGGATAAACGGCAGTCTTAGAAGTCTAATGTTGTAAGCTTCACTGTCATAAGTTCATTATTAGTGGAGAAAATCACGGTTGAAGTTTAATTTTTAACTTTCGCACCAAAATGTCTGCGCACGATGTAACAAATTTCAAAATGTTTTTTTCCATATGTTTGAAACATTAGCTCAATAAAATTTTCTGAAACTTCATATGCTAGGCTATGGCACCCACAGATGACAATTTATTTCATTTCTATGGATTAGAAGCTATGTAGGACCTGGTAGACGCCTTCAAAATTTATGACATCATGGTTTTAGTGCGGGAATCTCAAGGTGGCATCTCCCCTAGCATTTTCTTTTTGTATGTTTTATCGCTTACCAAATGTCATGTCTCAATAAGAGTATTTCAAAATTGTACTTTACTAATGTGGCAAAAATCATTTTGCTCTTTTAGTGTCCCTTTAAAGTAATGACACAGATAAATACCATAAACCCAGCACTTCACGAACTGGGAATTCAAGCATCAAAAGCATCTTAAGTATGGTTAAATGATCTTAAACAGTTAAGTATGAAAGTGTGCATCATGCTCTCTGGTGCCCTGATAATTATAGGCATTACATTTCCACTTACCCTTTGTCTCATTCTCTACGGGAAGTTGTGTGCAGTCATCGTACCGTGTACTCATGGGGCAACGGTAGACAGCACCAGACCGGTTCGTGCCTGGTTGGCTTGTCTGAGCTCGAGGTGCTCCAACGAGCATCCTGAATAAAAGAAAAAAAGATAGAGAAAACAGCAAACGGGTTAGCATGGAAAGACGATGTGTTTGCAGTAAGGATAACCTCTACATGCTGATAAAACATAAATACTTTATTGCTGTTGCTGGGGGAAAAAAAAGACACCTCACGATGAACTTCAAGGGCTGAAACAGTGAAAAACTTGCCAAACATAATTTGGCCCATAATTAATAACATGCAGCTTAAAGGCTTTTTTTTTTTGTCTTCACGGGCAGGGGCCGGCCGCCGACAGGGGCTAATGCCCTCTCCTCCCACTTTGCACAAAGGGCACTGCCAGACTTTAAATAAAGTTCATTAATTAATTCATTCACAATACATTGACTGCCATGTTGCATTTAAAATTATTGTTTTTATTTCATGCCTTTTTATCGTTTACTTTTTAGCTTCTGTTTTAATTATATTGTTTATGGTTATTTTATTATGTTGTATTTGTTTATGTCTAGTCTGTTTAGTTCTGCTTTTCTTGATGTTTGCCTTGGTTAGAAATCAGATATACAACAGTGCAAGTGTAGGCAGAAATGGAAGACGTTTTCTTGAAATGTACTTCAGGATATTAATTATTTTGCCTTCATTCTATACTTTGACGAATGATTAGAAAAGCGCTTACTTGTGCAACTAATGAGAAAAACCCCATAATATCGTGAGAAGAGGGGAACGAAGGATGCAGGAAAGTGGAACGGAGAAGCCAGCTTCTCCATATGCGGGTACCCAAGTTACGGAGTGCCATGAAGGGGTACCCCTCTCCCTATTAGGGATACCGGTGGGTGTCTGGTGGATCTTGGTGCCGAACCCAGTACCCCTCACATTAGACGTGGACACTCTAACGCTTCATCACCGCTGCAGTTTTTTTTTTTCCCTTCCGCCAGGCGAACATCAATAATGCGAAATCGTTACGCCGAAGCAGGCTTACCCACATAAACGCACTGTGCAAGAAGAAGCCCACCACACAAAGCAAAGGTAACGCGTGAAAAATTCAGGCCAGTCGCGAACTGTGGATTGCAACGCCACTGCCATTTTACAACGGAGCTGTTATGTTTATTGCAAATGCCGTTACGCGTTCAAAAATCTATCATTATCATCATCATCATCAATTGCCTCTTCCTTTCCAGTGCGTGCAACGCCCAATAACTCGGACGACGCACCTTCTTTACGCCAATTTGGCCGGCGTGGGACGCAAGAACTCGGACAGGCGAGAAAACGAGTTCGGTGACAGAGAAAGAAAGACAGTAAGCGAAAGAAGTAGATAGAAAGAAAGAAATGGAAAGAAAAAAAGAAAAAAATAAGAAGGGTATATAAAAACTGGCAGAAAGAAAGCAAAATTGAAAAAAAAAAGAACTGAAAGAAAGAGAAAGAATGACAGAGATAGAATTAAGAAAAATAGGGAAAGAAAGACGAAGCGAGGAATAGAGAGATGGACAGGGACGGAATAAAGTGAAATAAATACATAAAGATTAAGAGGTGGAAATAAAAAGAGTTGGATACAATAGAGGGATAATCAAAACAGAGAGAAAGGGAAGTAAATAGATGAAGATGAAATTAAAGAGCAACAACGAAGGCCGCCCAGCTCTGCTGTTCTTTCAGGCTTCGCGACACAAGTCAGGGAGGACCAACGGTATTCCGTGGTATGGCATAAACGTACGCCTGCAGGCACAGAACTTGGTTCGGAACCACTACAGTAATACTTCGGTGTTCCAAATCTCGCGGAGTCACCAAAAAATGTTCGCATCATCCGAAATTCGTCTCACGAGAAAAAAAAAAAATTAGCGTGCGGCATAAGAAAGCTGGCGTTCATTTTCATTTATTGCTTCTGAGGGCCGCGGTATAATGTCATAAACAGCATTGAATGACTGCCTGTAAAGTTTTTTGACATCGACGATCATACTAGTGCCCGTAAATATAGGGCGCGTGTACTTAAACAACCAGGTGTGTTGTCGCGACAACACAGCTGGATGTCAGAGAGCGGCCCGAGTAATGCTCTTTTAATGCCCACTAAAATGCCTTGTGAACCCAGGTGTGTTGTCTTCGACAGCTAAAAGCCCCTTCCAAATCTTAGTACATTTGCTTTCCCACACGACAGCAGAGTAATGCAAAGAAAATGACTAACAAGGCGCTTCGAACGCGATAGATGAAGGCCAGAAGATTTTAAAATAGCTGTCGTTTGTTTTTATTATTTTTTTATCACGGTGGTGTTGGGGACATCATTCGGGAGATTCACAGCTATTTACACCCGACCGGGATGTTCACTGAAAATTCGGGAGTCTCTTGCAAATCGGAGAGTTTGTAGGAGTGCGCATTCACGACGATCGCGCATGTTGACATTTTGAGGCCTAGCTCCTTGGCCAACACCGTCCGCTTCTTCTTTCGGCTCTCGTCCACCTTTGATAGGATGTCTGGTTGCAAGGATGCGGCTTGCATCAACGTGGCTGACGGGTGTAAGCACAGTAAAGGTGCGCCCGTTCCGGGTAGCCCGAAGGCCCGACTTCTCACCTCAAGGTTGGGCCGAGCTCGGGGTATACCTTTCCTTTCTTTTTTTTTAATCCAAAAAGCCAGGCAAGCTGCGAACCCCGAATCAAACTTACGACGGATTATTTCTTCGATTGCTTCCGGAAGAAGCGCGTACAAAATTGCGGAGAGCCGATTGCCACTGAAAAGCGATGCTTGAATATATCACGGGTCATACACAAGTGTCGCCTGGTCCCGTTGATAAACGCGAACACTGAAGAAGGCGCATTAAGGCCTTCAAAATTCGTGCGCACAATCTCGAGCTTCTCGAGCTTCTCGCGGCTACGACAAAACGTAGGCTACGGCGCGCCGCTGGTTTCGGCGGCGCGGTGCGCAAGCTTGCGCATATACACGTGGCCTCCGCGATCGGCTGCCGCCGGCAGCCGATCGCGGAGGCCACGATATATAGTTCCCATGACAGCGCGCGACTGCCCGGCTTTCCGCGACAGCACGGGCAGTGCCTGCACGTATTAGTATCGAATGTGGCCGGGAGGGAGTGAGTTCGCAACAACCATACAACACTACACTGCAGGCTAACGGGCTTCGACCGAAACCACAGAAAAGTTCGTATCACACCAAAATTCGCACGAGCTGTGATCGCATCACAGAGGTTTTTTTATTTAATTACGTCCTGAAGAATAGTGGGAATTCGGTTACTTATAAGGCACAGCCATTCCGAACTGCCAACAGGAAGTGCCGAGCTGTGACGCTGTTCTCTGACCGTAAAATGGCGACTCAGCTTTCCGCCGTGACTCGCCTATACCGTGCGTCAGAACAAAACGCAGACCGGCTGCCGCAGTTTCCGCCCGCGCGTGTTCAAAGGCGCGGCATTTCGGAAGCACAGCCCGCATGTCCGACTATGGTGCTGCATGCAATCGTGCCCGAAGGTTGTCGCCCACGAGCGCAACGTATTGTGTCAACCCCGAGGAATCGTGTCTTACTAGCAGAGCCTCGTCATCGACAAACACGCTATCCGGCGAAGTGCGAAAACCAACACGGTTCGATGAGCCTTCCGCCCAAGACTACTTACTACTTGAAAACGAATGCCGTCCGGTCTGGCTATTTTACAGTGCACTCAATATCGATGTCCAACGTTCACTAATTTATAGTAGTTGATATACGCTAAAGTTCAAATTAGCTTGCTTATATAGTGCACTTTCATAATCATAATAATGAATTTCGACGAAGAAAACTCACTAATTGGTTGATTGATTGATTTGTGGGGTTTAACGTCCCAAAACCACCATTTGATTATGAGAGACGCCGTAGTGGAGGCCTCCGGAAATTTTGACCACCTGGGGTTCTTTAACGTGCACCCAAATCTGAGTACACGGGCCTACAACATTTCCGCCTCCATCGGAAATGCAGCCGCCGCAGCCGGGAATCGAACCCGCGACCTGCGGGTCAGCAGCCGAGTACCTTAGCTACTAGACCACCGCGGCGGGGCAGCGGTTCTTGCATGTCGGAGCTTACAGCCTACAGTATAACCATGGTATACCGGCTCGAGATCATTCTCACACTCGTAATCACATAGCGGCAAATTAAACTTAGAGGCAATAACCCTGGTCAATGAACTTGTCTAAATTAGAGGCGCGATGTCGACAACGATAATTTCTGCGGCCCAGTAATTAAGTACCTGCATGCAAGGCGCACGAGAGAGGACACAAGGACCCGGGGGCTTTGCTTTGTGATGCGAGTGAAAGGAAAGAAAAAGCTGCCAAATTTTACAGCGTATCGGCGGGAAATTTAGTACCTCATGACCACAGGATTGAACAGTACGTCGATTCTGCACATGTAAAGAAACGCTGGCGTCCGCACTAGCGATCTATCGAACTTTTAAGCAGGAAATTACCAAGGAAAGGTTCTATGATAATACTCGGGGTAGTTCTCTACTGTTTGAGGCCAGGACGGGAGTACTGCGAACCAAGACATATCGGGCCAAATACGAAGGGGTAGACACAGTATGCAGTGCGTGTGGAGAGGAAGACGAAACTGCCGAACACTTGATAATGTTCTGTAAAGGGGTTCACCCTATAGTTCAGGATGATGGCGCAGAGTTTTTCAAAGCACTGGGGTTTAGGGCCAGGGAGGGCCAAATAGACTTTAAGCGGGTAGAATTAACTAGAAGGAGGTTATATGATTGGTGGCTAAAGTCAAGGCACGAGTGAAAATTAAACTCTTCACTGCAAAGTACAAATCCTCAAACTCACTTTTTAAGGAAAAAATAAATAAATATAGTTTTGAGTTCATTAAGTATTACGGCTTGGTGGCGCTAGCCACCACCCGATCTAAAGGTTACAGCCATATCTATACAACCATGCATCCGCTTCTCCGGCGCGTGCACTGGTATATGAGTGGAGACTGCTGGCGGCGCTGCTCTGTATAATAAACCTATGGACCTTATTGTATGACTGTATAATAAAAACATTTACTCCTCTCTCTCTCTCTTTCTTTCACACAGTGCA